GGAGTGAGGCAGGGTTGTATTTTAGCTCCTCTGCTGTTTAATTTGTATATAAACCCACTTGGGGCCAAAATAAATCAATTAGAATATCACCCTCCAAAACAAGCAAACAGGCACATTGCAACTTTGTTGTATGCAGATGACACTACTCTTATCACAAACACAAATTGGATTCAAACGAGCCATGAGCGCTCTGGCCAGATATGGCTCTGAAGAAGCTTTCGAAATCAATTATAGCAAGACTAAAATTTTGGTCCTTTCAAAGAGACCTAAACTGCACATTTGAAGGATAAATGGCCAGAATATTGAACAAGTTAAATCCTTTAAATATTTGGGCATGGTTTTTCATAGCTCCACTAAACGCAGTGTGCACCAAAGCTACATTACAGAAAACACTCAAAAAACAGTGGCTGCAATCCAATCCTTTTACTTTACCAGGGGAGCATAGTATATCCCAGCAGCATTGAAGCTATACTCAGCTAAAGCTCGCACACAATTACTCTTCAGTACCCAGCTAGGACCCTATCCTTCATTTACACCTCTGGAAAGGGTTCAATCAAAATTCTTAAGGGCCATATTTCAGGTAGGCCTTTGTGTCCCAAATGTAGCACTAAGGAGGGAAGCAGGGTTGTCCACAGTTGAAACGGGCACGTGGACTTGTATTATAGCACATTGGCTGAAACTACTGTTTTTCCCCACAGGTTTGAGTTCTTTCCTTATCAAGGATAATTACAAATCAGTATGGTTCAGGTCTGTCTTACAAAAACTTCAACATCTCAGCTTCTCAAGTGAGGCATTCCTAATGATGGGCTACAAGTGTGCACTCGGTGAATTCAAACAGTGTATCAAAGACCTGGAAGTCCAGCAGGACTGGTCTGCTTTGCCTAAGAGTGTTTTTTTGAGCAGTCAAACCTTTTCTTACAAGCCAGCAAGATACCTAAATTACATCACTGTCCCCAACTTTCGGAGGGCACTAACTCTAGCATACTGTAATGCTCTTCCTACAGCAGTTTTGGAGGGCCAATACAAAAAAGTGAGCTGAGATTGTGCCACTGTGGACAAGGGGCTATTGAAACTATAGCATATGTCCTGTTATACTGTATTTTTTATAACGACTCATCTAATAACTCCTAATCTCATAAAATATCCAGGTAATTCTGATCTTTTTTATGTCCAGTTGTTGCTATCTGATCAGAATGATTTAGTTTCCTTGAACGTAGCTAAATTTTGCTACACTGTCTGCAAAATTAGGCAGATTTTCACTGCCCACAGATGACCCCACCAATCTGTAC